TCCTCGTTAGGTATATGGCGTTATATATTGATAGTTATTTATCAATTACTGTCTCTTCTTGCTGCTGCTTCTCATCTAAAGTGTGCCTTGGGTAACCCAGGGGCAGTCCCTCTTGCTGCTGAGCTGCTGCAGCAGCAGCAGCAGCAGCAGCAGCAGCAGCAACAGCAACAGCAACAGCAGCAGCAGCAGTTACAGTTGCAGCAGCTGCAGCAGCAACATGGAGGTAATTCTTGTGCAGAAAGAAATGGTAATAATAATGGCACCTTTTGGTGCTGCAGGAAGCAGCAGCAGCAGCAGCAGCAGCAACTGCAGCAGCAGCAGCAGCAAGGGATTGGTGACTTAGAAGGAGACAACAGCAGCAGCAAAAAAGGCAGCAAAAAAAGAAGAAAGAGACACTTCTTGCTGCTGCTGCTAAAGTGTCTCCTTTTCCCTCTTGTTGTATTAAAAAATTACCTGGGTAAGAAAAGAGACACTGCACTGCATGCAGCAGCAGCAGCAGCAGCAGCAGCAGCAACTGCTGCTGTTGCTGTTGTTGTTGCTGCTGCTGCTGTTTTTGTTGCACTGTCCCTACCCTACCACAACAACTGCAGCAGCTATAAATCTCCTATTTGCTGCTGCTGCTGCTGCTGCTGCTGTTGCTGCTGCTGTTGCTGTTGCTGTTGCAGGTACCCGTGATCTATCTGCTTATATAGATAATAATAATATAATAAGAGGAGAAGAAGAGACACTAGAACTTGGGGTGTATAGGCAGCTATGCAATAAATGCAGAAACCCTAAACCCTTACGTGCTCATCATTGCTCTGCATGCAAAAGATGTATTGTTAAGATGGATCATCATTGTAGGTCCTTTTTTGTCTCCTTTTTGTCTCCTTTATTGTCTCCTTTATTGTCTCCTTTTTGTCTCCTTTATTCTCTCCTTTTTTCCCTCTTTTTTTGTCTCTTTTTTGTCTCTTTTTTGTCTCTTTTTTGTCTCTTTTTTCCCTCTTTTTTCCCTCTTTTTTTCCTCTTTTTTTGTCTTCATTGTAAATCTTTTTGTCCCCTTTTTTTGTCTCCTTTTTGTCTCTTTTTTGTCTCCTTTATTGTCTCCTTTATTCTCTCCTTTATTGTCTCCTTTTTGTCCTCTTTCCCCCCTCTTTTTTTCCTCTTTTTTTGTCTCCTTTTTTGTCTCTTTTTATGTCTGCATGCAAAAGATGTATTGTTAAGATGGATCATCATTGTATGTCTTTTTGTCTTTTTTTTGTCTCCTTTTTGTCTCCTTTTTGTTTCCTTTTGTCTCCTTTTATTGCCTCCTTAATTGTCTCCTTTATTGTCTCCTTTTTTTCCTCTTTTTTTCTCTTTTTTTGTCTCTTTTTATGTTTTTTATGTCTCTTTTTATGCTATAAAAAGATTTATTGTTATGCTGTCTCCTTTTTTGTCTCCTTTATTGTCTCCTTTTTTGTCTCCTTTTTTGTCTCCTTTTTTGTCTCCTTTTTTGTCTCCTTTTTTGTCTCCTTTTTGTCTCCTTTTTATTTATTTGTCTCCTTTTATTGTCTCCTTTTTATTTATTTAATTGTCTCCTTTTTTTGTCTCCTTTTTTTGTCTCCTTTTTTTGTCTCCTTTTTTTGTCTCCTTTTCTTTTTCTCATCTTTTTACCACATATATATAAAATAAAATAATAATTAATATAAATAAATAAATAAATAAATAAATAAATAAATAAATAAATAAATATAATAAATAAATAAATAAATATAATTAATTAATTTATTTATTTGTGTATAGGTCCTTGGATAAATAATTGTGTAGGAATATTAAATCAGAAATATTTTCTTTTATTTTTATTTTTTATTTTTTTTATTTCTTTTTTTTCTTTTCTTTTATTAACATGTAGAGTAATTACATGCATGCAGCCCCAAAATAATTATAATAATAATAATAATAATGCAGCAGAAGCAGCAGCAGCAGCAGCAGCAGCAGCAGCAGCAGCAGCAGGAAGAGGTGCAGCAGCAGGTATAGCTGCAGCAGCAGCAGGAGGGTTAGGAGGAGTAGGGATAGATGATGATGTTATATGGACTACAGGGGCATATAGTCATGATCCAGCTGCAGCAGCAGCAGCAGCAGCTGCTGCTGCTGCTGCTGCTGCTGGTCATGATCCTGCTGCTGCTGCTGGTCATGATCCTGCTGCAGCATATCCAGCAGAATTTACTCCTCCTCCTGATGCTAAATTGTCTGCTGCTGCTGCTCTCCGTCGTTGGAAGGCAGTAGAGGCTGCTGCTGCTGCTGCTGCAGCAGCAGAACAGCAGCAACAGCAACAGCAGCAGCAGCAACAGCAATCAGGAGCAGAAGCAGAAGATGATGGTACTGCTGCTGCTGCACCAAGGAGACACCTAGCAGCTGCAGCAGCAGCAGATGCAGCAGTTAGGGGTATAATGCATGCAGCACTAGAGGACCCAATGAATAGATGGAGACAATTGCTGCATATACAAGGAGACACTTATACACCTGAATTAGATCATACTCCTTTTGCTGCTGCTCCTCCTCCTTATCCTTCTTCTTCTGATGCTGCTGCTGCTGCACCTCATGGTGCTGCTGCTGCTGGTGCTGCTCCTCATACACAATATAACCATCATAATAGGAGACACTTCCTTGTAAGTACCAACACCACAGTCCTGCTGCTGCTGCTGCTGCTGTTGCTGCTGCTGCTGCTGCTGTTGCTGCTGCTAGTTGGTGCTGCTGTCTATGTATTGGTCTAAACCCTAGAAATAATTATGTTGGGTTTGTTGCGCATGCAGTGCGAATTTTCTGTCCAATCGGCCATCTGCGGCGCCGTAAGCTTAGGGTTTAGGGTTTAGGGTTTAGGGTTTAGGGTCTAGGGTTTAGGGTCTAGGGTTTATAGTATATCTTTTAATTTATTGTAGGGTATTAAGGGTTTAGGATTGTCTCCTTTTATATTGCCCCTTTACGTATTTATTTATTCATCTCCTCTCTCCTGTTCTTCCTAGGGTTTAGGGTTTAGCAAGGGTTTAGGGTTTAGCAAGGGTTTAGGGTTTAGGGTTTAGGGTTTAGGGTTTAGGGTTTTGTGTATACAGGCAACATATATGCTCTCTTTTGTCTTTGGTATATTTACGGTGGTGATGCTCTTTGATCAATTAGGAAGTATCCTCTCTAATACGACAGGTAAACCCTAAACCCTAAACCCTAAACCCTAATAAACCCTCTAAACCCTAATAAATTCTTATGAACTCTTATATGGTCCCTTAGTATCATAGATAAACCCTAAACCCTCTAAACCCTTATAAACCCTAAACCCTAAAGAAAGACTTGAATGAATCAGCTGTTGTGTACTATTATGTCCTCCATGGTATACTATTCTTTATATTAGGGTTTAGGGTTTATAAGGGTTTAGGGTTTATAAGGGTTTAGGGTTTAGGGTTTATATGTATATATACATAGGTATTGAATCATTAAAGAAAATAAAAGGAGAAAAGAAACCCTCTATACAACTTCTACAAGAAGTGTTTGGAGGTCCATGGGGGTTTTATTGGTAAGAATATATTTTTCGAGGGTTTAGGGTTTAGGGTTTAGGGTTTAGGATTTATATATTTATTTTTTTTTTAATTTATTTTATTTATTTTATCTTATTTATTTTATTTATTCATTTATCCATCTATTTTATTTAATTCCTCCCTTTTTTATCTTGCTGCTGCCGCTGCTGCTGCTGCTGCTGCTGCTGCTGCTGCTGCTGCTGCTGCAGGTTACTGCCAGTACCACTAACACCATTTCAGGTAAAACGTTTTGCTGCTGAGTTGCTGCGATTCCCTGCTGCTGACAGTCCTGCTGCTGCTGCTGCAGCAGGAGGAGGAGGAGGAGGAGGAGGTACAGCAGCAGGAGGAGGTGGAGGAGGGACTCCTTCCTCCTCATCCTCCTCTTCATCAGCAGCAGCAGCAACAGCAGCAGCAGAAGCAGCAGCAGCAAGTGTCTCCTCTTCTTATCCATTTAATTATAGAGGAGACTTGTCTTGTCTCCCTCATACAACAAGAAGAGGAAAAAGCCCGCATGCAGAGGAGACACCTCTAGAGGATACAGCTACTATGGTTAGCTGCTGCTGCTGCTGCTGTTGCTGCTGTTGCTGCTGCTGCTGTGGTTGGTGCTGTTGTTGTTGTTGCTGCTGCTGCTGCTGCAGTGCTTGTTTTTATGTGCGTCCTTTCTTGTGTATGTTTTATATATAGGGACAAGGAGGAGAGACAAGTATAACTTTGCTGCCTTCTGCTGCTGCTGCTGCAGCAGCAACAGCAGCAGGAGGAGCAGCAGCAGGAGAAGGTGTATCCTTTTATCCTTTACAACCTATACGGGCTGCAGATACACCCGAGAAGGGGACAGTGTCTTATAATAGTACATGGGGACAAACAGCAGCAGCACCAGCTGCTGCTGCACCTGATGCTGCTGCTGCTGCTGCTGCAGCAGCAGCAGCAGCAAATAGTGATAATATTTAGTTGTGGGGTTTGTTTGTTTAGCTAGGCAAAAGGCAGCGAGGGATTAACAACAAGAAACTTTTTATTAATTATTTATTATTTATTTATTTATTTATTTTATTTATTTATTTATTTTATTTATATATTATACATAATAATATTACTATTTATTTACTAAATAATACATAACTATTAGCTGCTTATATAACTCCCTATACTAATAATATTATATATAAGTAATAAATAAATAAATAAATAAATAAATAAATAAATAAATAAATAAAATAAATAAATAAATAAAATAAATAAATAACTAGATATCTTTACATAAATTAAAAAGGTAAAGAAATAAATAAAAGTTAGGCAAACATACAAAAAGATGCATGCATGCATGCATGCAGCAGCGGCAGCAGCATGCATCCAGGCATGCATGCAGCAGCAGCAGCAGCAAATAGTTTATTTATTTATTTATTTTTATTTATTTATTTAAATCATTAAATTAAATACATAAAAAGTAAATAATATCCCTTTACTGCTATTTATTTATTTATTTATTTATTTATTTATTTATTTATTTATTTATATATACACCTTATTATTTATTGAGCTGTATATGCAGCTCAGGTGTATAGGCAGCTCGGGTGTATAGGCAGCCCTGCTATATTATTATTTATATAATAAATATATATATATATATA